GCTCCTAACATCCTTCACTCAATCAGTTACTGCAAAAAATCCGCTCAACCAATTGCTCTCACATTTTTATACAACAAACTAGACACCTCAAGATTCAATTTGATATATCATAAACCTAATTTTACCAAGAAACGAAGCGGTAATAAATTTCCCAAAACCGGTCCAGGACTGCCACATGTGCAGTGAGCAAATGGGCAGTATGAGTTTACAGCCTTCTACAGGACGACTCCCAACCTATAATTTTACCAAATTTTACCACAAGATAAAGGACATCTTCAGCTTCAAAATAGCGTATGGCACGTCCCTGTCGGACCTCTATGGAGGGAGATATGCTCTCCCAAAGTTCGTCTAAATTATGCTGATTTCTAGAAATTTCGCGAGAGTTTCCTTTGTTTTTACAAAAATCCCCAAATTTGCCAATGTGATCTAAGACCTCAAATGTACCTAATAATCATGGGTGGCACACAAAAGGACCAACAATGCCTTGGGGCACTTACAACCCATCACAATTTATATTAATTATACAATATGCATCACATTGCTTCCTTTATTAATACTTAACACGTTTCAATAATTGAAGTCCAATTGCATGCATTTGCTAATTATACACATAATCATAATCCTAAAATAGGCCTAAGGTCCTTCCATCATATTACATCAAGTATCCATGTACAATTTACAACGTCTCAATTACATATTACAACTTGCAAATTCATAACCTTTAATTACAACATAAAACATAAACCTTAAAATGACATATACAACTAGACTTAGGCAAAATGACATGAACAAATATGACACTGAATCTCATCCTAAATACATATGCAATTTTCATGACCTAAGTCTAGCCTAGGCCCAGTGGCGATCAAAATGCAAAATATGAAGTCCTCCAACGACTAATCCTACGGGTTTCTTGGCCGCCGCTCCTGCACCACTGCTACTCCCTGAAATAAAGCCCCCAAGACGGGGTGAGATATACGAATATATCTCAGTAACCCAGATGATCTGGAGAATACTCCGCTCAATGGCTCACTTCGATGCATATAAATAACATAAATAACATATTTAAAACAGGATAAAGCAAGGGATTTTGAGAAACCGGGGAACATAGGGATACAAAATACGACGAAGCTGGAATGGTCGATGCCAGTACCACGCAACGTCCTGCCTAATGGCTCAGCATATAAGCCTACGGGTCTCAACCAAGGCGTGTTCCTAGAACAACCAACCAAGACACCCTCCATCCATATACACCCGAGACTTCCTAGTGTGCCCCTATCCGGATCACACACCACGACCCTAGGTCAACTGGAACTCCCTCTCGGAGACCTATCCAGTGGAAGTCCGTAACACCCGAAGGCAAACTGTCTACTGGCCAGAGACTCGGTACATCCTATGTACAACATACATACTAAATGCATGATCATGTTATTCTACTTTACTTACATACATTTCCTACCATCACCCTCAACGGGCATGGTGAAACACACAAGGGGATCAAGTCCCAGTACCAAGAGGTTACCTGTATAGTCCTCTTAACTTAGCTCCCAGCAGTATATTCTCCGAGCTCGTTATACAGCAGAAATGGCTACACAGAGGACATTTCCAATTACTTAAAATTCATACAAACACATGCAAGTTACCAATATACAAGCATGGTTCCAATTACTCACCTCAATCCCACTTGATCCGGGACCAAGGGCAGTCCACCGAACTCACGGTTCGGGGTTCAAATCTATGTACGACAACCTACAACAATCATGTACGAATCATCAATACAAGGCAAATATATCAAAGTACGAAAACGTCAAAAAACCTCACCCACATAAGGTAGGTTCGGCCAACAAGGTGTTATTTTACATTTTATTTTTCTAAATTTTCTTTCTCATTTTCTTAGGCATCCTTAGGTTACCAAAAGGCCATATCAAGTGCCATTTTTCATTTTACATCATTCAAACGTCGTTTTGCCTAATATTTTGCTCTAGGTCCAATTAACCACTCAACACTAGCAATTATTTTTCCATTAGTTTTCCAACCTTCCAACCACCACACTACCCATCTAATTACCATACCATTACACAACACATCATCCAAATAATTTTTCAACATAATTTCCTCTCTTTTTCCCTTAATGGCCGAATTGCACCAAGGCAATTCCCAAGAGGTTTTAAATCCAATTTCACTATTCCTCACCTCATACAATCCTATTATAACATCATACAACTACACAACAACTCCCAACACACTTCTAACAACAATCCAAAACACAAAGTCATGACATTTCTCCAAATTTTCCTAAGTTAAATCACATTTTTTCATCAATAATTGTTATTGCATTTATAGCTCTAACACATCATTTTAAGACATTATCATCTAATACACATTTTCCATTTGAGCTCTCTAACAACACAAATGATCAAATCCCCCTTTAGGGTTCATGAAACAAATCCAAAGATTAAACCATTGAAATACAAGGGAACTTACTTAAAAGCTTGGCACAAGGCTCCTCCTAGACATACTCAACCATTGGAGCATCTAACAACTCCATGAACACAAATCTAACACTATGAGCTGCGGCCTTGAGGATGGAATATCTCAATTTCTAGTGGCTTTCAAGGTTCAAGGGTACCACCAATGGATTTAGAAGATGATTTCCAATGCATTTAGAGTTAAAATTTTCATGATTTGGCTAAGGTTTGATGGAGATAGAGAGGAAGGAAAACTTAAACTTGCTTGGCTATGGAGGGGGCTGTCCGCGGGTTCATCAAGGAAGGAGAAGAGCAATGATAGTGAATAGTCCTTGCTTAGGTGGCTTAAGTGGCCTTAGGTGGGGTGGGTCCCACCGCCACCTCACGATTTTAAACTTATTTAAATTTTCCTCCGATTCCACTAAACGTCCATAAATTCACAACCTATTTAGAAACTCTAATTTTTAACATTAACCCTTGTCCTTTAATTATACTTGATCAGATGAATCCTGAGTTTTCCGGTTTAATTTTTGTGCTAGGAAATGTAAAAAAGAATAAAAAAATTTCTATATTTTTTGTTCCCGGACACAAAATGAGAAATACTTGTCTTTATCAATCACTCTTCACCACTACCATCAACACATCCACTAGGGATGGCAATATGGGTTGAGCCCGGCGGGTCAACCCGCCAACCCGCCAAAACGGGGCGGGTTGGGTTGAGGTTTTCGACCCACCAACCCACCTCAACCTGCCCCGCCTAGAAGTGGGTCAAAACGGGTTCAACCCACCGGGTTATAAATATTTTTTTTTTTTTACAATTAGGTAGTATTTTATTAGTCCTTAAATTTCTGTGATATCCAATTTTTTTTATCTTAGTACTTCCTAGAAAAAATAAAGAATAACAATTTTATTTATGACAAATGTTATCTATATATAAGTTCCTAAAGAATGTTTGACAAATATTAATATACATTTAAGATTGAGATTAAAAAAATATAGAGAAGTGTGACATAAAATAAAATAATATTAAAAAAATTCATAGAATATAATTTATTTTTGAATTTTAATTAATTTTTTTTAATTGGCGGGTTGGTGGGTTGACCCGCCAACCCGCCAACCCACCAAAAAATGGGGTGGGTTCATTTTACCAACCTATATTTTTTGGCGGGTCAACCCGCCCCGCCCCGTTTTTGACGGGTTGGTGGCGGGGCGGGGCGGGTCAACCCAAATTGCCACCCCTAACATCCACCACCATCATCGCAGCCACTGTCGTTACCACCATCAGGTCCATCACCATATCCATCACCATTCTACCACCGCCACCATTGCCACCACTATCATCATCATTGCCACCGTCACCAACCACCACTACCATCGCCACTGCCTTCATCACCACGCCATTGCCGCTGCCACCACGCCACCATCATCGCCGCAGCCACTGCCATCACCACCACTACCATCACTACCACTACCGCCATTACCATGCCACCTGTAACACCCCATATGCATTCGATCATGTTATCATTATTTATGATATTAAGCGCAGTTACAATCACAACAAATCATTTAAAATTTATGGTAAATTTTTTTCTTTTTGTTACCGTTTATAAAACGTTCGTAATAAACATTTCCCAAAATGTGATTGTAACTCAAAAATATTGCGGAACCATAAATATTATTGCTTAACATCATACAACGTCCATTTCAAGTTGCTAAACGATTCCCATAAACCAACGAAGCATAAATACACAATTTGACGTTTTACCAACTTAAGGTACATTTAGTTTTTCCAAAACTGCACATGGACTACTTGTCCATAAATTTCCATATTTTGATATGTTATTCTACGCTCCTTTACCTTTCCAATAAGGTATCACTTGCCCTATTATGGGTTCTACAACTCCAGATACGCTCGTCGTAAGTTACTTCCTTAAAACTGTCAAAATTGCACTTTCAAGTACTCAAACATACCTCACTGTTTTTCAAACTGCAGAAATTTCACACGTTTTTTTTCCACCAAATTTTAATATGTTCTAGGAGACAGCTCAAGCTTCGGTTTGATATATCATAAGCCTGATTTGGGTAAGAAATGAGAGAGATATGAATTTTTCAAAAACGTGAACCAATGCTGTCAGCTTACAGCGCGAAATTAACATCTTTCACTCAAACACAAACTAGACAGTTTATACAACTCCAAAAGACACCAAATTTTATGACAACACAGGGAACATCTTAAGCTTCAAAATAAGGTATGTTAAGTCTTAAGCTTCAAATTTTATGACACCAAATTTTTCTAGAAATTTTGACAGAGTCTCCTTTGTTTTTATAACTTTTCCCCACTTTATACAAGTGTGTTCCAATACTCAAAAATGGTACCTAATAGACCAAAAGGGTGGCATCCTAACAACCTTGGTGCACTTACAACCCACAATATCCATATAATTCATTATAATTTAACAACATCAATAACTATAATAGGCTTTAGGCCCTTCCATAACATACATCAATATTTACATAAACAAGGTTCTCCAGTAATACAATTACATTACATCAACTATCAAATTGAACTATTACATAATCAACATATTAATCAAATGACTTAGAAACAAAAACATGAACAACTCTAACATGTCCACGACATCTCATACAAGACTAATGTTCATGCACTAAGTCAATGATACAAAATAGACAACTATCAAGTGCATCAAAATAATATCTCAAAATGTCATATAATCCTCATGCACTCCTGTGTACATGTCAAAATACTCCATATGCTCGTATCCACACTAGATGAGCTTCTTACCCAAGGCTTCTCCAGCAGCACTTGTTGTACCTAAAAATAATGCCCCATAATGCGGGGTGAGATTTGACAATCTCAGTAAACCACGGGTCCTAGAGGGTCACTCCATCCAATGGCTCACTCAAATGTGCAAACAGTAATAATATCCACATAGTACATCATACCATCAAACAGTCAATCAATCAATCAAACTATCAACAACCAACTGGGCACAAATCCAAGAACATTCATCAGGGATATTTTTCAAGGACCCCATCATATAACTCCCGAGACATTCCTAGAGTGTTAACAACTCTAAGGCCAACACCAACTGGAACCCCCACAAAGAGTCCTATCCAGCGAAAGTCCCCCCCAAATTCTACTGATCAGAGAACAGGCATTCAGGCCTCACGACAATGAAGCTCAATAAGCAATCAGGCTTCACAGGAAATCAGGCCCCACGAGCAATCAAGCTCAATAAGCAATCAGGCTTCACAAACAACATGCATTTTTCACACAACATGTTATATGCATGAACATATTTTATTAAACATTACCACATGTCACAAATTGTAACCACTCCCAAAGGACATGGCAGAGCACACAAAGGGACTGACTCCAGGACACACCAAAGTTTACCTGTAAAAAGTTCCACAACCAAGTTCACAAACCAACAGAGAAAAGCTTCCGAAGCTTAATCCTTCAAGATTGGATCAAAGAGAGTCAACCTATAATGATCATACCATAATATGATCAATCATATGCTTGAGAATAAGCAAGCAAATATAAACAACAACTCTCAGAAAACCCTAGCTCACGGCATTTAAAACTCAAAGTATTACTAATTGTGCTTTAATTTCAACAATCCAATTCCATCACTTGAACATACTTATCAACCAAATCACCAATACATTCACACACCTTCCATCAAGTCACAACACAATTTACAATATTTTTCCTTAATTTTATCAACATGGCCGAATTGATACATCGTGTAATCAAAGGATTTTTCAACAATTCACAAGCTTAAAACTCTTTTAAAACTCCATAATTAATAATTCAAACAACCACCAATCTATTACATCATCCATCAAAGACTTCCTTTACAAATCACCATTCTTACATCCTTGAAAATTTGACTAAGTGTTGGAACCAAAATCACTTAAATTTTTATTGCATTTTTACCGATTATTTATCCATATGAACAATAAATTCCAAAGGAACATGGCCATAAAACTTCTCTAACCATGCTAAAAAACATACACATTATATTATGTCCAAAATTTTGATCCAAAGAAAATACTCAGTGAAATTAAGAAATCTTACCACCAATGGGTTCCTAGGCTTCCAGAGATCAATATACAAGCTTCCAAGCAACAAAAATCACCAACAACGGCTACACTAACCTCACAAAACCGCCACCTTCAAGGTCTTGGATCTCCTCACACACTCACTTTCTCAAGAAATTCTTTTACAGTTTTTGATCACCAAGGGATTCCGGGTATTTTTCATGTTGAAATTTCTTAACTCGAAGTAAAAATAAGAAGTTGCAAATCAAGCTTTTTCTCCAATGAAGGTTCGGCCAAGACAAGCATAAGGGAGGAAGAAGACAAACTTAAATGGCTGATTTCATTAATTAATAAGCCTAGCCACTTTATTTGACTTTTTGGAAAACTTTAGAAAATATCTAAATTCAATTTATTTAATTAATCTTCTTGAAATCTCAATAAATTTCAAGACTTAGGAATTTTCATAAATTCAATATGCATAATTATAGTTTAATTATGTCACAATACAGTGTCAAAAAACTCAAAGTAATTTTTGCATAATTCCATTTTTGCCACTGTTTACAAACTAATTATTTTTTCCAAAAACATCAAAATTCATCAAATAATTCAAATAATTATTTGTCTTGGTTCTAAACACTTCTTCCAACATACTCCCATTCCCAGAATATTTATATAATTTTTGAGTCGCTCTGTAAAATTATACTGCGGTATTTCATCCGCTAAAAATCACTATTTATCAATTTTTCAGAAAAATGCATATTTACTTCCAAATTTCATTCTGAATCCAAATTCAACATTAATTTCACCAAATAATGTCTAATTATATCATTTCATGATTTTTGGGTTCAGTAATTGTCAAATTACCATTTTGCCCTTCGAGTGCATTTTCACCCGAAACTCAGGATTTCACCAATTAAGTCCTATAATCCACAATTCAATCATAATAATGCATTTTTAATATGAGATGTGTTATACCACTACAATCACCACCACTATTACCACCACCATTGTGTCATCACCACAACCATGCCACCATCGTGTCACCACGCCATCGCAGCGACCACGCCACCATTGCCCCCGCAACCACACCGCACCATATGAAAAGGAAAATAATGATTCAAAAAAAAATTATGCTTAATAGGAATTATTTTTTATTATATTATTTATTGTGTTATCAAAAGCAATTCTCATTCTTGGAATAAAAATAGAATATGTTATCAAATACTTTTTTTTATCAGAAACTATTCCAAGACATAGAAATAGAAAAAATTGTTTCATTCCAAAAATAGTGTCACTAAACAGAATAATTTTCATCACACCCTAAAACAAAAAAAAATGGATTTTAGTCCTTTAAAGCTGTTGCAGATTTAATAATAAATAATATTATGATATTTTATATTTGTGTGAATTTTTTTTAGAGTATCCTTTATAAAATAAATTGATACCTCCTAAAATGAAACACAACTCATATTTATACGGGAAAAACACGTTTGTCATTTTAAATGATATAAAATTATATCATTTTAAAGATAGATAAACATAAAATAATTTTTTTAATTTAAAATTTAAATTAAAAAAATCACTCACTTTCCCCATATTTTTTATTTCTTGTGTGTGTATGTCTCTCGTAGAATTACATTACTTATGTACAAATATCAAACCCATTTATATGTCCTTGTACTTGTGAAATAAAAACTTACGCTACTATCCAAATATAACATCGTGATGTATCTCTTTCTTCTGCTAAACTGTCTCGCTCAACATGTCTTTATCTCTCATCTGTAGGAAGAGAAACGATGGCCCAAGATTTACAGGTCACACCTTCTGGTTCGTTCCGTGACAAAGTTCGGTTCTTTCTTCCGGAGGACTCCAAGATTACAATGTCTTTGTATGGTGCACCCTTCTCCTCCACGACAAGACTAACCTAATGGCTCCTCTCTACCCTACCCCATCGAAGAGGACGTTAACCAGTCTTCCCATCCCTTCTGCGATCATTGCCGCTGTGTAGGTACGTTTACAAGTTCCAATCTTTACCTCTTGGGGTTGGTTTGGTTGATGATTCTTGAACTGGGTCGGTTCAATTTTGCAAGAATTTTGATTTATTTGTTTGTTTTCTGATCTGGGCATGCTTGAATTCTGCGTCTTTAATTTGTTCGAGTCTTGATAGGGTTCTTTTTGCATGTCTCGTGCTTTCTTTGACGTCTGTTGTGGTTGTTGTCATCGTGATCAATATCTCTGAATAGGGTCTTTCTTTTGATAACGAAGTTGATATGGGTTGGTCGCCAATTTTGGATTTTTGTTTTTTTTTTTAGATTTAGCTAGTGACTCGTGAATTTAGTTTTGTTTTGTAAGAATATTGATTTATTCTGAAAAGGGTTCGTTGGAATTTTGCTTCTGGTTTTTGTAATTATGATTTAGTTCTCTCTTTTAATTAGAAACTGAAAGGGGTTGCTATTGATACTGATAGTGTGATACTAATATGTGGATTTGTTTGGTCTATGATTGGTAGGTTGGAGTGGCCATTTTGTAACAAAGAGAAGGTAGCATTTCATAATCCCGATGGACAACGGGTGGCATAAACCCTCAAGTGAAGGTGCTCTTGATAATCAGAGTCATCTCTTGCATGGGGTTATTCACTGCAATGGATACGGCCATTTGCTTTGTATTAATGGCGTAGAAGGGGGTTATAAAGTTCTCAGTGGGAGAGGGATCATGGATCTCTGGGACAGGAACTGCATCAATCTTTGAGCAAGGTAAGAAAATAATTAACTCATTTATTATTTTCACTTCTGGAATTCAATGTTCTCTAATCAAGACGCTCTGCAACTCACTGAGGCTATCAGCAATCCTGTATCTACAGAAGACCAAATTGATTACATACTCGAAGGTTTACCTTCAGATTACAACTCGTTCGTCCTCAACGTTCGTTTGTGTGAAAAAGCCTATGGTTTGGATGACTTAGCAATCGAGTTATTGGCCTTTGAACAATTGTTACTGAAGCAAAACGAAGCTCTGCTAAGCAACCCAGCCTCAGCAAACCTTGCTTCATCTTAGAGCAACTCAGACACAAATCTACAGACCTCTTCCTTGAAGCATCTTCCATTGCAATTTTCAGGTTGCACTCTTTCGCCAACCCAGGTTGCCCGATAACACCTTCTGGTCCATTCCATGACAACGTTCGGTTCTTTCCTCAAGAAGCTGGAGAACTCAAAGATTACAATGTCTTTGGCAACCCACTATGGTGCACCCTTCTCATGCACGACAAGACTAACCTAATGGCTCCTCTCTACACCATCGAAGAGGACATTAAGCAGTCAACCCACAAATTAAAGACGCAGAATTCAAGCATGCCCAGTTCAGAAAACAAACAAATAAATCAAAATTCTTGCAAAATCGAACCGACCCAATTCAATAATCATCAACCAAACCAACCCCAAGAGGTAAAGATTGGAACTTGTAAACATACCTACACACTGGCAATGATTGCAGAAGGGATGGGAAGACTGGTTAGCATCCTCTTCGATGGTGTAGAGAGGAGCCATTAGGTTAGTCTTGTCGTGGATGAGAAGGGTGCACCGTAGTGGGTTGCCAAAGACATTGTAATCTTGGAGTTCTCTGGCTTCTTGAAGAAAGAACCGAACGTTGTCACGAAATGGACTAGAAGGTGTGATGGGGCAACCGGGGTCGGCGAAAGAGTGCAACCTGAAAATCGCAGTGGAAGATGCTTCAAAGAAGAGGTCTATGGATCTTCGGTTACTTGATGGAGTTGCTTATGGGCACTCTTGGTTTGGTAGGTGGGGCTATAGATTTTTCCGTGGAAGCTTCGGTGTAACTAGGCAAAATTACTATGAAGCAATCGAGGCTCTTGGTACTTTGGAGCTTGAAAAGATTGTAAAAGATTTCAGCAAGACAAAGTGCCATAAAGAATATGATGGAAGGTCACCTTTGGTGAGGAGCTTGCAACTTCTTCATTACTTACTTTATCTTCATCTATGATGTTGCTTGTGATTAAAGCAACTTAACGATTCCGTTATAAAATGCTTGCCTCTTACGAACTTTTTTTGTTTTTCCTTTAGCATCATGCTGCATCTAGACGATATGAATATATCACACTTTTGCTTATTCAAGAAGGTGTAGACATCAATATCGAAGGTAATTGTCTAACTTATCAAATATTCATTGTTACGGAACAAATTTCATCTGACACAAACATCATTAATGTGGTAATTTTTATAGATAACTTTGGCAACACACCCTTACTTGAAGCCGTTAAGAATGGCCATCATCGAGTTGCTTCTTTACTTGTTAGAGAAGGGGCCTCTATGAAGATAGAAAATGCTGGTGATTTTTATGTGCAGCAGTTGCAAGGGGAGATTCGGATTATCTTAAAAGGCTTTTACCTAATGGTATGGATCCTAACTCGAAAGACTATGATTGCCGAAGCCCTCTGCATGTTGCTGCTGCTGAAGGTTTCTACTTCGTGGGAAAGTTTCCATTAGAAGCCGGAGCTAGTGTTTTTGCCAAGGACAGCTAACATTCAATACTCATTTTGCATGTTCATGCTGACATGAATTGTGTTTGCAATTAGGGAACTTTTTTGTACTTGTTTTCACTTGAAAAATAAAAGGGGATGTGCTTATTTAAGTCTGCCCAAATTCACTAGTACTGCACTAGGCTCTATATTTTGATACTGGCAGTTTGCATGCACCCGTTTGTGTGTGTGTGTGTGTGTGTATGGTAACAACAACTGGAAGCCTGACACCATGATGATATTTGGAGCTGGTTTCTGGAAAGCATGTCCAAAAACCATATATTTTTGTTTGTATTACTGTCATATTCTGGACATATAATTCCAAAACCGAATTTCAACATGGTATTGGCAGCAGCATCTTACCTTGACCTGTGTACATGGTGGCTGCCTTGTTCGACTAGTTTCCCTTTTCCTTTTTCCCCATCCTTTGTAAAAAAGATGCATTAAGTTCGACACACAGATATAAGTGAAATTTCTCTTTCTCCTTTCCTATATTTCCCCTAAAAAGTCTTAAGCGAGCCCTTAAGAATATATTGTGTTTATTGTTTCTTTCCTTTTTCATTATTACATAAAAAGCGTAAACCAAACTTGGTTCTTTTTCGTTTCATACAAACAGATGGGGAAATACCCCGCTCGATGGAGCCCGGATGTGTGGAAATAGGAATCTTATCAAGCTACTGGAAGATGCAAAATCTGCTCAATTGTCAGAATTTCCATGTCATTCCCAAGAATTTACAGGTACTGACATATTGTAATTTTAAAAAATAAAATCCTATTCCAATTTAATGTGCATTTCCTTCTATTGTTAACTCATATCTGAAATCGTCAAACATTTTCAGATAAAATGCACCCAAAGAAGTGCTCAGTGTTTCCTTCTATTTCAATGGTTCACCACACCATTGAACACAAAATGCACCCAAACAGCTACTGAGCAGATGGAAGTTTCCAGCGATTCTTTTATTTTATCAGAAGATGCTTGTGAAATTTCTGATGTGGACATGATTAAGGATGGTCAGAAGCTGTATTTAGTCCACCAAACACGTTAGGCTTTCATATTATGGCTTTTATATTACCATATAATTATATTCCATGTAATGTTTTACCATCTCTAAGCATTTAAAATCGTCCATAATAACCCTTGATAAAATGAAAAATCAATTGTTTCAGCACATAATAACCCTTTGGGAAAATCCAGATTTATTGGCAACTATCAACTCTACTTTGTTGGTTCTCATCCCTAAAGACCAATGTCCCTCTCAAATGTCTCAATTCAGACCCATCTCCGTGTGTCCAGTTATATATAAGGTAATCTCTCTTGTTCAGGCCAGCTTTGTTCCGAAAAGACATATTCATGACAATATAATTTTAGTGCAGGAATTGATACATTCAATGCATAGAATGAGAGGAAAGAAACCATTCATGGCCATCAAAGTGGACATAGAAAAAGCATATGATAGATTGAATTGAGAATTTATAAGGAAAACTGTTCAGGAGAAGCAAATCCCAGACATATTAGTTCACATAATTATGGCAGCAATTTTCACTGCTAAATTCAATATCCTTTGGAATGGGGGGATGTTTGATGAGTTTCAGCCTACTCGTGGTGTCCGACAAGGGGACCCACTCTCCCCTTACCTATTTGTCATTGGAATGGAGAAGCTCAGTCATATTATCAATACTAGAGCCTTTAGGAGGAGATCACAAGTTTGTGTGTCTTTAAGAGGGTGCGTAATGTGGGTAGCCATTTGGAGTGTGGATGAAACATGCTAGAGCCTTTAGGGAAACATATGCCAATATTGTTGAAAAGATTCATGCTAAATTAAATGGCTGGCAATCAAAGGGCCTATCTCAAGCAGGGAGAATTACACTTATCCAATCTGTTCTGTCCACTATCCCTTTCTTCCAAATGCAGTGTGACAAAATCCCTAGATCAATTTGACATGAACTTGAGAGACTGCATAGAGGCTTCATCTGGGGAGACACAGGGGAGAAAAAGAGGATGCATCTTATGTGTTGGGAGACAATTACAAAGCCAAAGACAGAGGGAGGTTGGGTTTAAAGAATTTAACTCTAATGAATGATGCATTTGTAGGAAAGTTTGCTTGGGCTGTTTTTTCTCAACCGGAAAAGCTTTGGGTGCAGTTCCTCTTTGAGCAGCGCAAAGGTGCAGATCTGTTTCATATCAAAAATGGAGATTCAAGGATGTGAAATTATATCTGCATGATTTGGAAGAAGTTAGAAAATCATCTCAATTGGGAAATAGGGGATGGAGCATTGGAGCTTATGTTTCTTTTTGGAAAGATAGATGGATATAAAATGGTCACAGGTTAATGGACATGGCTATAGCCGCAATTCCATTGGAAGAAATTAATAAAAAGACAGCTGATTATATTGATGATCAGGGAAATTGGAACATCAAACTATTCTCTAGATGGATCCCATCGGAAATTGTGTTGCTAATTAGAAGCATTCTGCCTCATAATTCTCAAGATGGCCAGACTATGTCTGCTGGAATTTAAAGAATTCAACTCAAGTGTCAGTTAAAAACATCTATGATACACTTGCATGAAATGATGGTGTCCCTCATAACAACATCGATTTAGAAGAAAGTTTGGAAGTGGGAAGGCCTTCAGGTGATAAGGTTATTCTTATGGAAAGTCCTTCACAATAGGTTGCCAACTAGAGATAGGCTGAGCACCTTCAATTTTGGTCTACCCTCTTGTCCGCTTTGTATAGAATTTCCTGAAACCTGTTTGTACTTGCTCAGAGATTGCAAATCTATTAAAAGGATTTTGTCAGCTTTGATCCCAAACAGCCTCAATAATTCTTTTTCCATTGACAATTTATCAGTTTGGTTGGAAAAAAATTTGTCTTTTATGAACAAGTCTAGAAATAACACCCCTTGGTGCATTATTTTCGGAACCATCTGCTGGTCAGCTTGGAGACGAGGAATGATTTAGTCTGCAATCACCATTCTCTCTAGGAGGGGTGTTGCAGCCTGGGAGCCCTATCTGGTGACTCGAATACAGGCTTGGCTTGAAAAAGATTGGAGAATCCGTATAGTCCACACACACAGAGAAGTCAATCAATGTGCTGACTTAGCAAATTACCCATTAGATAATCCTAGTGCTCGAGACGTGTATTTTCACCTCCCCCCCAGATTGATTCTGTTTATGTTGCTGATTTAGCGTCTTTTTGTAGGGTGCATAGTGTGTCTATTTTGTAGCTTGTATGTTGGGTTTTTCCTACTCATCTTACCCCATAAAAAAAAATCGTGCATGCTAATAAAGTATTCAATAATTATTATTGGCGCCACACATCAAAGCCACGATTTAGTGAAAAAAAGAAAGAATAATAATCAAATTCCCACTTCTTTGTAGTGGTCATTCAAAAATTTAGACGAAAATAATATTCTCATCTTTTTACATGGACTTCACATTTGTTTTTTTTGGTACATGAAAGGGGCAAGGCGCCAGCAAACAACAAGGAAAAAAGGAAAAACCAGAACAGAAAAATAAAGGAAAATGCAGAAAACTACAAATTAGGAACAACAACAGCTAATCAGGCACTCTCTCAGATGGCAGAAAATTTTAAGGCTTGGACATCAAACAAAATCATTTTTTTTTACTTTTTAATCATTTTGCTTTGTCTCTGATCTCTCTGATC